TTTATCTGAAATAACTGATTGTTACTGTACATGTTAGTCTTAGAGCAATAGCCACCAGCATGCTTTTCTTGTATGCCGTGGTTCAAAATAAAATGGTGTTGTATCACACTGGTCTCCTTTTCTTGGTGCTTTTCTTGTATGCTGTGGTTCAAAATAAAATGGTGTATCACACTGGTCTCCTTTTCTTGGCCTTCTGCCAGGAACGATCCCCTACTTAGTATGGGGAAACAACACACCTACGTAGCTATTTAAAAACAACAACACAAAATGACAGTAACCTCTGTTTATTTTATTTTCAAATATTTTCACTTGTGGTAAGATGCAGGGCATTGCAAAGAATTATTAAACACTAAGCCTTATTTATTTATTTGATTTATATCCCATCTTTATCTCCACGTTGCATCCCAAGGTGGTTACATAGTCACAATCCTATGCAGTATGGTGAGCAGCAGTGTAGTTCTACTTAAATTACAATAATGATGTTAATTGGGAAGACATTTGCAAATGGTACTTTAAATTAAGACATGCAACTTAAGTGCAAAAAAAGTCTCCCTTTTTTGTGAAGACCGTCCTTCTCTTGGTGTCCCATGTCCTCCATCTCCTCCTTTTTGTTAATGCCTGGCTTTCTTTTTGTAATGGAACGATGGTGTGGAAGATGGATTAGTTGTCACCCTCTATTCAGTGAGCATGGGACTTCCAGAAGTGTGCAAATGCCCCATTATCCACACAGTTTAAATCTAATCAGCTATACACTGAGTTAGAAGAGCACCCCACAGCAAGCAATGTGAAACCCACAATAAGAAAAATACTATGAGTATCTCTCTAATGTATGCTGTCAAGTTGCTTCCAGCCCTATAAATTAATGACCTCTGAAAGGTCCTATAATTAAGAACCCTAGTTAAGTCTTCCAAATGTAAGGCTGTGGCTTCCTTTGTTGAGCGGTCTTCCAAATTTATTTATTTAATGTAAGGCTGTGGCTTCCTTTGTTGAGCCAATCCATCTCATGTTAGAGAAATTTGGATCAGCGATTCCAAAAATGACAGGCTAATAAGATCTTAAACCAGAATTAGGAATTAAGGAAAAATTAACAGAATTCTCTAGCTAAATTCTGGAGTCTGGAGACTGATTCAACTAGTTTAGATATCAGGAAGAGTTCTGACCTTTAGTGAAGTCAACTGAAAGGACAGTTAGTGCTGCTTCATAGAGAGAGTTCAAGGCACTCAAAAAATATGGCCATCTCTTGTCTTTTCATGGAATTCTTTCTGATTTGCTAAAGTGACTGGACCTCCTTCTGACTGATGTGTAGACACCACCTCTTTCTTAACTATTTCTGACCTGATTATAATCTTGCATAGACTGGTAATTTATGATGGCCAAATTACCAGCAAACAAAAGAATAGCCCAAGAGATTGAACTAGCTATTCCTAGGTAATATTAGAGGCTGCTTAGCTTCTAATTGCTTTTAGATGATAAATATGGAGATGTTTGCCCGAGAGGTGTTCATGTCTAATGTCTTACTGACTGACTACACTAGGTAATTCTGGTATTTGCTGCTGAAACAGTTATATTTTCATGACTTGTGGGCTCAGTTGATAAATGTGATCGGCAAGGACTGTTTTTCCATTCTTCTCATTCCTTGCTCTGGGGCTGTGGTCTCCATAGCTGCCCTTCCAAACAAGTTCACAATTATGATGTTTATACAGTATATTCCCTTTCCTCTTACTTCCTGAACTTCAGGCACCATACACAGTTGTTGCCATTGCCTGCACTTTACTTCACAACAAACCTGTGAGGTAGGCTGGTCTGCAAGGGAGTGTCTTATGGCTGAGTGGACATTTGAACCCCAGTCTCTTGAGTCTGAATCCAGTACTCTAACCACCAGACTGTGTTGGATTAGCACAGCTGTAATCAGCCAGTCTCAGAGTTTGGAAGGGTTGCTTTGTTGGACTGCAACTCCTAGAATTCTTCAGGTGGCATGAACCATGGCTAGAGAAAGAATGAGCTCATTTGCTTCTTTGTTTAACATGATTTACATTTTGCAAACAGGAGGAAGGTACTTTTGCCCCACGTATGGCACATCCATGGTGATCTTAAATTACTCCCCCACTTCTATCTGTTTTGGATACCTCAATTCAGAGAATGGACAGGAAACCTACAGCTGTACAGATGTGGTTGGAACCCAGTTTCCATCATTCTTCACCATTGGTCTGACGGGGATGGGCATCTGAATTCAACAATAATTGGAATTCCATGGATTCCTTATGCAGCCTCAAAACAAGGAAAGGGTGAACTAAGAAAAAAGGAATCATCATTTTTTTTCTGACTGAAATTTCAGCTTCTCCAAATTGGCCTAGCCAATATATATCATTGCATCAGAAATATTTAACAAGATCTTGTTCTTTCGGGTTTTTTCCCTCTCTGCTTTTGTTATAAAAATGTCTAGTGGCCTTCCTCCCTTTTTTTGAGTTCCTGGTGTTCTTTATCCAGTTATGTGAAGTTAACGGAGTACAGCTACTGACCTATTCCGTGATGTGCAACCTCTGATGACCATGGTATTGTATCAACTTTCAAGACTGAAAAAAAGAAACAACAAACTTCCTGGTTCCAGGCTTATACTTCTGGCTACTCCTGCCTGTTTTATACTGGTGGTGGAAGCAGCTGTTTTTACAGAGCTCTGATATTTGTGTGTCACCATAGATTTTATTACAGCCTTTGCAAAGTTAATTTATGAGGTCAGGAAAGTATATACTGTGTGGCTGAATTTGAAATAGTGGATGTGTGTGGGTGTGTGTGTGCGTGCACGTGCACACCCAAACACAATCTGCACATCCACCAGCAACTAGTACAGCACAAAGCACTATCAACTCAGCTTCACAAATGTATCAGTGGTAGAGATGAGGACATGTTCTATGCTCACCTTGGATTAATTGAGAAATAGCTTTGGATTGCTTGTTTTGGATGAATTCTGAAGATCTTGTATTGTTTATCTGAGCCAGTCTGATGGCATAGATAAATGCCCATCCCCACAAGACTTCACCTTGTCAAAAGACTTCATCGTCTGGTCAACAACTTAAAATGCATGGAGATAGCTTACAGAAAAGCTCAACCCCTCCCCATAATACCTTTCATGCCATTACTAATGCACCATATATTTTTAAATGAAAGAGCTGTTTTGTAGGGACAGGTGACCTACTGGGCTGACATACCCCCATTGGCCTCCTCATCAGAGAAGAATTCTACCTACACAACAGAATTAGAGTGGATGAAATAGTCAGCAGTGTCATTGGATACAGCAGATAATAGCATTGGTATAGCATGAGGAACGAATCCCTCATTCAGTGTCCTGATTCTATGCACCCTGCCTACCAGGTAACCATGGATTGGCACTTGAAGTCTGGGCACCTTCCTGGCATAAAACCACTAGGAGGATCTACTGCTACTTTGTCATGAATTACTGAGGCAGCCTCCGCACCCTGGACCAGAGTGAAAACTGCATCCTTCTGGTCTACTAAAGCTGTTACATGAGATGGATTGTAATCCTTGAAATATATCTGTTAGTTTTCATGGTACCACAATATTTTTGCTCTTGTTTTTGTCTCTACTCTTCTTACACATATCTTCATGAGTGTTGTCCGCATACCTTTTACATTTGTGAGACAATTTTTATTACTTGTTGTCATCCCACTGTTCATATGGTTGTCTTTATTTGCTGTAGCTTCATTTGCTAGTTGCTGTTTGCAGTGTCTTCTTAAAAACACTGTAACTGCAACAAAACAAAACATTTTTACACAAGATCGTTTATTTGAGCCAGTTTATCTGAGCCAGTACACCTCCCTCCTCCTTAGATATCTAGGGTATCATTTAAAGAACTTCAAGAACACCTTAGTTTTTCAAAAGTTTTATTGTTAAGTTTGAAGACTAGACAAGGTCGTACTGTTTTAACATCATTCTACATAATTTAAGTATATACAAAAACATTGGAACTTTACATAGGTCGCCAAAGTTGCAAAGGTCATTATGTTTGAGATATTTCTGTACTTACTGACACATCTGAAGCCAACTTTGAATATTACATTTCTTATTTTGTGGTATAGCACAGATATACTCCTTAGTATTCTTAGTCTTCAAAACTCACATTAATTTGTATGCGTTCATTCCAAAAGAGAAAGTCAACCTAAAAATCAGAATTGGGGTGTATTTTTTTTTCATGAGAAGCCCTTAATAGAACATCCTAAGCCTTGTGCATTATGCTTTACTTTCCAGGCTATAAAAGTAGCAAATTAGGGAGCTATAGAAAGATGAAATATGCCTAGAAGTAACTAATAATTTGGGGGGGGGGTAAATAAAGGGGAATCCCACCCTTCTCCAACTTGGTTTCACTTTTAGGATAAATACAAAAAAATATGGACAATTTCATAACATTTTCCTATTGAGTTTAATGATCACATTGTTCAGGTTGTCTAATTTTGAATCCACATATTATTCAAGCGCAACAGGTTTGAAGGATGCAGCTCTAAAGGAACCAACATGCAGATTGCAAATGAAATTATGTGTTAAACTTTAGAGTTCAATTTGCTCATTATCCTAACTAAGTGAGCTGAAGTTTTCTCCTTGATTTGGGGCAAGTTCACACATGACCCTGGCATGGATGCACTACAGTGCAGGTGGTGCTGTAGAAAAGGTTGCACACTCATCTCCACCCAACCCATATGATGTTTTATATTGCCCATTTAGATACTGAGTGCACACTTGGAAGGGGATAATGGGGACTGCACTTGTTGTCGTCACTCCCAACCTCCATACGCTTACCCATAGGTTTGAATATGTATCAGGTTTTACTGATGCAAATTCCTTCCATGTAACTGGGAACACTGTATATTGTTTGTTTCCCCATTACATGTAGAGAACTCATGTGTTCAGATCTTTAGGTGAATGCATAAAGATTACAAGGAAGCAATGGATGTGATCCTTTCTGTCTCCCTCCATGAATTACTCCCTGTACATGGTTTGTTTCCCCATTACATGTAGGGAACTCATGTGTTCAGATCTGCATAAAGATTACGAGGAAGCAATGGATGTAATCCTTTCTGTCTCCCTCCATGAATTACTCCAAAGTAAACTTGTGTTCAAAGATACACATGTTGCCATGACCGTTCTATAGGCTACAGGAGCAGGCAGTGTGCCCATAGTTGTTCTTGACTTCCTTCACCCTGTGTAAGAAGCATGTATACACCCTGTGTAAGAAGCTAGGATAATTTGTGAATTTATCTCTAATATTTTAGGACTAGAGCCTATTGTTACGAGTCACCAACTGTTTAATTTGGGGTACTGACTCCTGACTTAGCACCACTTTGACTTAAGGAGTTTGCTTAACGTGTGTGTGCTATATCGTTCAGTTCTTTTTAACAAGACACATTATATAGACTTATGGCTGACTTAAACATGTACATCATACAGTGTTTTAGTACACAATAACCTAGGATTTGATGAATCACAATAGAACGTGCAAACTTCCTACATTGAAAAATGTAAGTTTAAAGTGGTGAGATAATCTGAAACCTCTGTCTATGCTGTTTCATCAGTGATGTTTCATATATGTCATATTCACTGCTTGGTCATGTGTAAACTCATTTGTAGCAGACAGTGCATCCTGCAGTACCAAGACTTCATATAGAGATAAAATGAATCAAAATAAATTGTTTGTCTGTCAATATATGCAAAATACACCGGAAAGTTACTCCTTTGTCAGCTTCACTAAAAACCAGACATTGAGCATGTTTTTAGATTAGGTGCTCCCTCAAGTGACAAAAAATATCTGCATGGCACAGCATGTGATCCCCCCCTCACCCCAGTATCTTGCATTTATCATGTTTTGTGAGATTACTGGCTATGAGGTAAACACATGCTAAACCAGCAAGTCTGATTGCCACTGCATGTATCTTAGAGGAAATGACACTTCAGACGGAAAAATACAACTTCCTCTTAATGTCTAGTTTGATTCTGACAGTAAAACTTGCTATGACGTTAATTGTCTGAATGTAACTGATGTGTGTGTTTTTGTTATGTAGTTAAGCAAACAGTCTTGGGGTGGTCAGGCTGTTCTGATCCTCAGACAGAAATGATTTCTTGTAAGCAGCTATTTAAATTTAGAAGGAAAGACCCACTAAGCCAATTGAATTTTTTTTAAAAAATTCAAATAGTACATTCTGAAATGTAATTTTTGTTGAAATTAAAAACCTCATTCAAACCTTCATCCCTGAGGCTACCCACTCTTTCCCCATCAGAAATGTGAAGGAATGTACATATTAATTGCAATGACAAGATGGACCTCCCATCCAGTTTGACCTGAAATCAAGTAGGAGGGTGGTCCTGTCTTTCACCTCCCAGTCTCTTTCAGCTGAATGGGAACTTCCCAATGTACAGGGTCTATAATCACTTTTTTAAAAATGTCAGAGGCATTTCTTTACAATTACAACACTTAACAGAAGCAACATGTCACTAAACGTCCCAACATTTAGTTTTAAAAGTAATCAAAGCTTTCAGGCTCATATGAATTAACTGGTAAAGGTGAACAGAGGAAAATAAGAAATGCAGCCATTTCAGGTTAGAAGCATAATGAACAGAAATATCTATTTCCTCAATGTGATCCTATTTTTATGGATTCTAAACTATAATACACTTGAGTTTACTGCAAGTTCAAAAAAGCTTCATTTAAATGTTTTTTTTTTTTAAAGGAAAATGTACTAACAAATACAGAACTGTTTTACAAGAAAGTAGTGGCTGGCAGCTCAACGTGCTCTATCTGTTCACTGTCCATTCAGTGGCTGTGAGCTGTAGCAAAAGTAATTCAGGATGGAGTCATCACATCAAGGCCTGCAGTCTCTTAGCTGCAGAAATCTTGTTTTGTCTAGAGAAGGCTTTAACTTCCACACCATTTATTTCAGTGTGTCATTCAGGAGATTAAGAGTCGGTGGTTATTACCCAGATTGATCTAAGGTAGTCTGTGTGCTTTCTTAATTGGACCAATGTGTTCTACAGAGTACTGTGTGTACACACATTCCCTTGCTCAATAGACAGGCAGGCCTGCAGCATCAAAAATGGGTGCTGCTTTGATGGCCTTAATCAACTGTTCAGGGTGGGTCACATACAGACCGTTGATGTGAGGTCTGTGTCTGTTGTCTACATAAAGGCCAAATGGATTTTGTTTGCTACACACTGTACCACCAGATGAGATGACTACAAGTGCATAAACATGGCCCATAAAGTAAGAGAAAAGAATGAAGTCCCATGACAGTCTAAAGTCACTCAGGTACAAGCAACAATGCAGCCTTTTTAATACTCTAGAGCAACGATCCCCAACCTTGGGCCTCCAGATGTACTTGGACTTCAACTCCCAGAAATCCTGGCCAGCAGAGGTGGTGGTGGTGAAGGCTTCTGGGAGTTGTAGTCCAAGAACATCTGGAGGCCCAAGGTTGGGGATCATTGCTCTAGAGCAGGCCTACAGAATTGCAGTGGAGCAAGTAGGCTGTGAATGGCAACATCTTCATAAGAGCCTATAGTGCAGAATATGAACAGTGTGTGTCTTTTAATGCTACTTTTGGTGATCAACCTCATTCCATCAGCCTTTTGCAACTTTAAATGCAATTACGATTGACTTTCTCTTTAAAATTGTTCACTACAATTGAAGATCACTCCATAGATAACACTTTTAAGAAATGTTAACACAGTTACAGACAAGACAGTAACAGTCTAGTGGATTTTGTAATGCAGCACAGATCCAACTAAAAACAAAACAAAATCATTAACTTAACAGTGTTGCACAGAACATTCCTTACACATATGCAATTTGCTTTGAATAGGTTCTCAAACAGAGATCTCTGAATATCCTTGTCTAAGCCTTACAAAAATAGACATGTGAACAAACACACTCTCTGAACTGAGTGTTCATTATGTAGACAGACACTTCTTACTGATTCCAATTTTTTTGGGATATGCTTTCAAGAGCGGTTCCCTTGATGGCTGTAAATTCATGTCCCGAATTTTTTGGTGCAGATCAGATGTCACTATCATTACACAGAGGACAGAGATTAGATACAGATTGCATAATCCTTTCTTGAGCATGGGGGAAATTTGGACTATAGGATGATTAGCTGTTCATCATGGTCATAGCTTCTATGCTTACATATACAGTATACATATCTCATAAGAATGCTTACCAGGATGTATTAATCACACACAAACACACACACACATACAGAGAGAGAGAGAGAGAGAGAGCATATTATGAAATTAAAATAAAAAACTTTGTTGGACCTTTGAGGTTATGAGATGATATCTAAGAATTATGAAGGAAACAGACAGCATATAAGTATTGTGTTAAAATGAAAGTGCTTTGCAGGATCAGCTATGATCATCATCTGTCAGGATCCTCTGCACCAGCAGGAACATCACATAAGAAAAAGCCATTTGTTAAATTGGGGTGGGCAACCATTGCCCTCCAGATGCTTTCACCATTGGTTCTGCTGGCCAAAAGTAACTGCAGTCTAACAACCCCCCCAACCCTGTATTAAGCCACAACTGTGTTTTCACACACATTTGCTGCAGCTATGGCTAGGCAGAAGGAGAAATGGGGATTTCCATGGTGCTTTGCCAGCCACCCTGGGCAGTTCTTCCAGGGATAACAGCGTCTTCTACTATTATGGATGGGCACGGACTCATGTTGCCCTGGGAAAAAGTAACTGTATGCATACGAATAACGGCATATGTGGCTCTCCAATACTGATTGGTATGCATTGCATCTTCAGTCCATTCAAATGAACATCAACTTTTTTGCACCTTCAGATGCAAGATCTGCTGACATAACCTGGTCAATATGGTGGAGATGTGGCTTTATGGCAAATTATCATCTTAAGAAGTTTCTGTAAAGCAATAAGCACCTCCCTCAAGAATATATGCTTCCTAGAAGAGGTGTGCTGCAATTTATAAGCCAGTTCTAAGTGATAAAGGACAATGTTTTACCCAGTTGGAAATCATGAAGCCCTTCCATCCCCCACTCCCACCCCCAATAATTCCATCTCTTCCACGGTGCGAGAAAGCTTTGCCTCTATGGAATCCAAGTTGCACTGGAATACAAGAAAGTGGAATGTATGCTGCGTAGTTTAGCTGCCACCTAGTACTATGTGTGGCTTATCTTCTTGCCATGGGCATACCCCTGCTGGCTAAGCCTCGTGTGTACTTCATCTTTGACAAGCAATTAACATCCAACAACCCTGCCAATCCAAACCCTCTGCCTTTGCTTTAGAGAACACTGAAACCCTCCTCCTAGCCATGGGAGATGTCAGTGGGTAACACATTTGATCACAGAGCTAGGAATGTGCTTATACGGGAATGAGTCAATCTTCTTCTGAAGCAGAACTCTGCATTTGATACTAGATTCTTTGCTGCCTCCTGCCTTCTGAAAAAATCACAACATACATTCAGCCTTTTCCTCTTGTCTCTGTTTTTTTGAAGACTGACCCATGTCTGAACCCATTCCTCCCTCTGTAGTTTTGCAACATCATCATTTGTGGATCCAGCAGGAATGGTCCTCTTCACCTTGGGTGCCGAAAGCACCTTGTAGAGATAATGGTATATGAACCATCCAGCCCCAAGCTTCACATCACTTGTTCCCATTAGTCTGAAGAGCTGTTGCAGGACAGTGTGGTAGCGGAGTTATGCTTCAGACCAAGATTGCATTGTCTGTATGTTCTGGCATGCCACCCTGGACCTCACAGTCACTCTCACCCACTGAGCCAAGGGAGGCTTCTCAAAGAAGCCATATTCTTGGCAGCTTCATAAGTAAGAAAACAGAAGACAGCAGGTACGTTATTTTTACAGCATAGCTATGTGCCTACCACCCTGCTCAAGTTACTGAAGTCTTGAATATGGTCATCGGTCTTTCAGTATCCTTTAGGAAGAAAACCACAAGCTGATTTCATTGACAAAATCATCAGATTTCTTACTGATAGCAGATCCCCACCCCCACCCCCAAACCCAAGTTGGTTTATTGAAAATCAACATCAGCAGTTAGTGTGAGTAAAGAAAAAGACATCCTCAGCAAGCTTAATGGAAAGCATAATTAATGGAAATAAAACCCTGGGTGTGTGGATTTGCCTGTGTTTGTAAAGGAAATTACAAAAGGCAGTTTGTAACATCAGGAGGACTGCAGACCACAGAGATGCTTTCAAAAAATATCATAATGTTGACAATGCTCAATAGGCACAAGGGAATCAATCAAATGCAGTCATCCCCGAGAAAAACTTATTGCTAAAGCTGCAGTATCACTATTTTTGCAAGTAAGACGATAGTGTGGTTTCAGAAACAATGGATACATCTGGTCTTTTTCAAGTCTCAAACAAACTCCCTCATACCACTTTCGTCTGCCTTGCAAAAATGCTGCTGCTTTCTTTTAAAATCCTGAACCACATTTTAACCAGTGTGAAAAACTCAGAAGCCAACTTGAAAGGTCAATTGTGCAGCAAAATAGATTCCAAAGGATTGAAAAATAAAACTAAAACAGATTTAGAAGGACAATAAAAATAAATAAATAAATCAGATTTGGACCATTTTAAGGGCAGGCTTAGACCTCCTTACAAAAGACTGTGGCCTTCCAGAAAGTGAGCACTTTTTCATGAAAAACCCATCCAGCTTCCTACAGGTTTTGCACAGTTTTTCTTTTCCCTATGGAGATTTCTTTTTTAAAAGGAATATCAAGAGTTGTGCTGTTAAATGAATATCATTATCAGTCCTCTTCTGTACATCCCAAAAGCTCTGACCGTAAAGTGATCCGGCCATACCATGACCATGGGAGGATCCTCAGGTACCGTGCATAGATAGGAGGATCAATGACGTTCTTTCTGTGGGTGTCATTGTCAAAATTTCCCTGGAACACCTGCAAAGTGACCAAAAACATCCAGTTACAATAAAAAAGAGAAGGGGGGGAAGGCTGCAAAAGGGCAAAGGTGGCATGACGTAAGCACATGGAGAAACAATGATAGAAATATAAAGAGATGCCATTACTGAAAAGATAACCCAAGAAAGGAAAAGATAAATAGCTTAAAACAGACAAACAAGCAGACGGGTGTTTTATTCTTTCTGGGCAGTGTTTGTGTTTCCACAGGAATATAAATGGCTACACTTAAGTCCACTTAATAGTGAGTGAGTCCCACTGAATTAATAGTAAATCTACTTATGGTCATAATGCAGGCAATCTATAACTATCTGAACAATTCAATTTCTTAAATTTCTAGAACTGGCATTATAGCACATTCCCCCCTGGCCAACCTTTTACCATTATTTTTAAAGAAATATTTTATGTATTCATTTGATTTCTAAATATAACAATATACATGAAAATAAGATGATACCAATATGCAGTTATGGAAAACAACATTTCACTTGTCAAAAAGCACATTAAGTTTTAATCAGCAGTCAACACATGTCATTGGTTTTTGCTGCTAAGCTTCTCCCGTGGGGATATTATATAAAATGTCTTCATCCTTAAATCCATGAGTGGAGTTGAAAAGAAGATCTAAAAGGGTTCTGTGTGGAAGTGAAGAAGACAGCAAAAAAAATATCATTTAATAAACTCTTATAACTGGAAGGGACCCTCTGGATTAAGGAGGCACAGAGGGGAACTGAACTCCAGATGCCTAAATTTCTGTGCTATCCAGCAGTCTGCCACTCTCTTATGAAACGGAAAGATCTTTAAATTGTGCTTTAGGGTACTGTCAGCAGACCAGAGAATAAGAAGAAAATTATTGTTTAATACACTCTAAAAATGCCAGGATTATTTTTATCATGGGGGTACAGCTTGGAGATACATGATTTTTCCTTAAAATTTGCTAATGAATGAACTGCTATCTCTCTCAAATGCCAGCCAACAATAGTTCTAAACAATGCATAATACTAAGTGTAAATGTCAAAATGATAAACAAGGTCAACTTTAAGGTGCATTTACTCAGATAGGATAAACTAATATGCAGGTAAATAACTTCGTCCTTTTGGTCTATGCCAGCTGTATACATGAGAGTATACATGAGCATTATACTAGAGTGGCTGCTTATGTAACAAGGGGAAAAGAAACATGATATGTGTCCTCCAAAAGACAAGTGAAGGCACAGGGTTGCATAACTTTTGGACATGCTCATTTACATGTAGAGATCAAATCCAGAAACAATTCATTGAATGACAGTACTGTAAAGATTAAAGGGATTTTCTGTCAGTGCAGAAAATCCACAGCTGAAGCACTCCTGATAGGTAGCCATTCAACCTATACTTAAAAATCTTAACTGAAAGAGAGTTCACACAGACCTCTCCTGCCTCCCCAGGCAGTCCATTACATTGTTGAATGGCTCTCATTGTTAGGAAGTTCTTCATAACGTTTAGTCAAAAATTTGCTTTCTTGAAACTGGAATCCATTATTTCTGGCCCTGTCTTCTTGAACTGCAAAACCAAGCCATTTCTCATGTGACAGCCTTGAAATATTTGAAGATAGCTGTCATATCGCCTCTTAGCCTGTTCTTCTCCAAGCTAAACATTCCAGGCCCCCTAAAGCTCTTCTCATAAAACTTGGTTTCTAAACCTCTTACCAGCCTGGTTGCTCTCCTCTGGACACATTCCAGCTTCCCAACATCTTTCTTAAACTCTGGTGCCCAGTACTAGGCACGGTATTCTAAGTAAGGTTTGACCAAAAGAGAATAGAGTGGTACTATTATTTTCCACTTCTGTTGATATTCCTAATATAGTACTTTCCCCCTTGCCTATTTTCATTTTTTTGCTGATGGCTTATGTTTAGCTTGTGATCAATGAAGAACCCTAGATCCTTTTCACATCTATTGCTTCTAAGCCAGCTTCTGCCCATCCTATATTTGTACATCACATTTTATCCTTCTTCACGGATTGCTGCCTTGTCATGGCGAAGGGGCTTGAGTAACTCAGGGAAGTTATGGGCTATGCCGTGCAGGGCCACTCAAGATGGACAGTTCATAGTGGAGAGTTCTGACTAAACGCAATCCACCTGGAGTAGGAACTGGCATGCCACTCCAGTATCTTTGCCAAGAAAACCCCATGGACAGAAACAAAAGGCTAAAAGATATGATGCTGGAAGATGGGCCCCTCAGGTCGGAAGGTGTCCAACATTCTACTGAGGAAGAGCGGAGGACAAGTAGCTCCAGAGCTAATGAAGTGGTTGGGCCAAAGCCGAAAGGACACTCAGCTTCGGATGTGCCTGGAAGTGAAAGGAAAGTCCAATGCTGCAAAGAAAAATACTGCATAGTAACCTGAAATGTAAGATCTAT